AAAAAAATTTCTTTGACAGAAACGAAAATTTTTGTGAATAATTAAGAAATTTATTATAATAACAAGAAAAGGTTATAAATTCCTTTCTTAAATCAGTTTTCATCTGATCACTCAATCATTTTGATCATGCTTGTAAATATAATCTAAAACAGATGCAGTAGATCCGGTATACTTAGCACTGAAGCAAGCCACGGGAATTTACGGTCGACGAGGTTCATCAACGCATAATTTTGATTCTGCTACACCGTCACCTCGAAACTTGTCAGAAGCTTCTTTGCAAGATTCCGGATACGCCGAAGCAAGCTGTAACCGTGGAGTTATGATCAGCTCAACACCTCAGCTGGATCAGTCAGGTATTTTAGTTTTTTTTCTTTAATTTTTATCGTTGTATGTCTTATGTTAACTGTACGAAACTAATGACTGCCAAATATTTTTAACTTTTTAATGCCAATTCAAGTTCATGTTTTTCCAACCAACTTTTTGCAGCAACTCCCAAGAAAGGCAGAAAATGAATAGAAAGAAATAGTTTTTGCCAAAATATACCAGATTGACTATTGAAAAAGTTTTGAGGGAATAAAGACATTTTAACGTAAAGCAGAGAGAAGCAGATCAGGCTTCAAGCTGCTTATTACATTATTGTCTTTGTTTCATTAATTCCACATTTACCCCAAATGTCATTTAAAATTTTAAAACATTGCTCAATTTCGCCTTAAGTTTGTCACATAATAAAAACTTCTGCCGATACTATGCCATTTATTCCTTTTATTCCTTTGGAAATTAATAATAATAATAATTAGTGATAATAAATATATTTTAATTTTTATAAAAATTTGTTACTATTTTTACTATAAATTTTTTACATTATTATTATTATTATTATTATTATTATTATTAATATTCTTTATTGTTACTGTTTCTGAAAAAAGAATTCCTACAAATACAAAGAGTTTGTGAAAATAGCTCGAAATTAACATATTATTTCGAAATGAAGACTATGTCTCATCAACTTATCTCTAATTAGTTTTTTGTAAAAATAAACCTTCAACATTTTTCAAAATTCTGATAACGATTGGAGACTAAATTTGTTCACAGGTATGAATGGAGGAAAGCGCCGTCCGCCTAAGTTACAGAAACAAATGAAATCGTTGTCTCTGGACTGCGCTGACTCACCACCTTCCATTACAAGCGGTGTTTATTCAAGTAAGTCTAACGAACCTGATAGAATTCTAAGAATTTCCTTTAAAATTTGATGTATTCAAACAATAAATAAAGATTCTTTAGCAGTAATATTCATTGTGTGCAAATACTTTCATTATTCTTGTCTACAAATAGGAGCATCAGTTCAAACATGTGCCATTAATAGTACTGATTGAGAAAACGTTGAAATAACATTTGTTCTCTCAAATTTTTTATTAAAAATAAAGAGGAATGCAATAGAAATTTAAATTCTACAGAAATCTACACATTTCATTTTTATTTAGTTCTTTTGAAAACTCTGAATAAAACTGATTAAGTTAAAAGAATTTGAAAAAGAAAATTTATATTGAAAGATGATCATAGGTACGTTGCGATTACAAAACCCCCATAAATGCGGTAAAATCTACGGCAAGGAGCCATGTGAATTAGAAGCCCAGTCTCTGCACCTAGTACCTCTCACCACCGTCAGGAACTGTGGTTAGTACCTATCAAAGGTAAAGGAACAGAGTGTTTGCATGTTGCATTTTCTTCATTTCTGCAAGCATGGATTTTGTTTGTTTCTGCAAACCTTACGGTGGAGAGAGTGTAGTTGGCAATTTTCATTCACTTTCTGGTTTTATTTATTTACCTGTTCCTTCTTACCTGCGACATTAAAGGATAACGTCATATCACATGATACAGTCTCTGCAGTCTTCCATAATACATTCTTATTTCCGATTAAATTTCTAACTTGAAAAAAGACGTCTCTGTATTTCTCGATATATCTTTCGAAGCACAAAATTATCTTTGCTGATTTTCGTGTTATTTGATAAGCAACAAATGAACATTTTCTTAGTTCTTCTCTTCCTTACCTTTTGTTCAAATTTTACAATATTTTATGTTTAGGAAGCAAATTAACACCAAAACTATTACATTGCAATAATAGCTCTGGGGACATATCAGAATGCGAACGAAGTCGATCGTCGTCAGGACCATCTCCTCGCTTAACTCCACGTCGTATTAGCTCTTCAGATGGTACATTTTTCGAACAGCATTTACAAAATTCTGTTATAGCTTTCAATTTATCTTCAGATTTTATAATTTTATTATTTGCAGTTCTGCAAGGATCTCATGTAGTTATTCATGAATACATAGCTGGACCTGACACAGCCTTATGCTTAGGCGATCGATTAAAAGTTGTTGACAACGGGGATCCCGACTGGCTCTATGGTTTCAAGGTTTCCTTTTATTTCAGTGGGCAGTTATAAGCTTTTTCTATAGTCTAGGGTTTCTCCGATTTTTCCAAGTTCTAAATATTTTAATCACTTTTTGTAACAACTGAGACATAATTTGTAGACAGGTGATCGGACAGATCGGTTGATGTCATTCCCAAGTACTTGTGTTGCATTGGTGCAACCTGGTGAGCAGCCAATGTTGCTCAGGCAAAACGTTCATATACCTGAAGCCAAAATGAGACTTTATCGTGACCAGGTAAACTCAGAACTGCTTTTATCATTTGACTAAATTTAAATGTTTTTTTTAAAAATTTTTGATGAAGTTTTACTGCATAGTGTTAATGATTTCAGGTGGTATTTGCGCAACCTGATTCAATTATGGCTGGTCGAGTATTGGTACGTACAGAACGTCATGCTTTTGTTCAATGTCCTTTGCAACATCTGCTCTTATTGTGATGCTACTTGATCGCTACCAATCATGGAATACTATTGTATTATAAGCCAAAGATAATTATCCTCATTCAACGAGTGCAGTAGACAGATGAATCTAATTCATCCTCATATGAAACATTTTTCATTATTATCCATTTCGTTGTGTGAAAAATGTTTGTAATATTTTTCGATGATCATATTTTTCATATAATCTGTAACTTACTTTGAGCTATATTCTTCAGAATCAGGAACAGCCTGATTGATTGCAACCGTTTCCAAGTTTAACTGGTGAGAACCTTACATCTTTAATTTACATAGTTGAATTTTTCTTACTGCTGCCTGTTCAGGAACACTGATATTTCAAAATTGATGACATTCACAGGAAGCTTAAATGTCTGATTGATTTACTATCTAAAGGTAATGTTCCAATATAACATCATTTTGCGAATGCTTATTTTCGTGATGATTATGCATTCTGGATGCATTGTATCTTCCCACTGATTTTATCTTCATGACATGGACGTCTTATCGGTACATTCATGTAACGTAAGCATATAAATAGATAATCATATAATCTGCAACCTACATCTAACATTTTTTCAAGCTTTCGGATAAATTCTTGATTTCATTTTAATAATATTAAAAAAAATATGTGGAAGTGTAATTCCAGATATTTGTAACACATCATCTGACTGATTCACTACAGTGAATCAGCGGTGCAGTGAATCAGCACTAATAAATCATTATCCTAAACTGTGCACAACCGACTGATGATATTATCGGAAAAGAAGGCAATTGATAGATAAATACTGCTTAATTTGAGTACAAATGAAGTCTTTATTTGTACCTTTTTCATTTTCTCCAACCACTGTTGCAATCGTGTATTCTTGAACAAATATTTGAACCTCCTTTTGATTCATTGAGCGACTTCATAATAATTAATTTTCGGGATCTCCTATATGTTTATACAAGGTCTTTCTGTAGACAGAGATTTCAAATTTTCTTCTACAGTTTTTAAACAAAATTGATGCGGATAAAAAAATTAACAATTAAAGAATAACTGGCACTGAGCTTTACAACAGTTCATTAAAAATTCCCTTAGATTTTTGTTTAAAAAGAAAAACTTCGAAATATCGGAAATTACTGAAGTACAGTTAAAGAAGTAAAAAATGGCGTTAAATTTTATTGGATTCACTTTTACACAAACAATTTTAAGCTTTAATTGGTTATATAAAATTTATTATACGTACTGACTTTATTAAATTTGTAAGGAAAATAAGTGTTCCAAAACTCTTCAAACTTTTATATTTGGAATTCAAAATATAAGAAATTGCTTCAAGCATTTATTAGTTATTTTTCGCATAACTGATCATATGAAATTGGAGTTAAATACAAAACATAAAAATTTGGAAAATAACTTTTTTACATGTATTCTCAATCAAATTTGTAGATTTACAAAATATTTCTACAAGTAGCAAGGAAACAACTCTTCAAGAATTGTCTCGTTACAGCTTTATTTTCCATATGATAGGTTCATTTTAAATGATACAAATTCATTTTAAAAATATTATTTGTGACGGCTTTTTAAAAAAACCGGCGATTATTCGCAAGAAGTTTGAGATTGTGAATCTTTACCTACGTAATATATTAAGTTATTACTGAAATGTAGAAAAAACTTTGTAACAATCACGAATGATATAATGTTACATGAATCGAAAACCCAGGTTCACAATCGGTTATTCATATTCATCTTAGGGAATAATTTAATCAAGTGCTATGTGTTAGAGATTGTTTTAGGTAAAAGCTATTGATTTTCATACAAAAAAACTGCTTGAAATATAATGTGCAGAAGGAATCTTTTCCATCTGTAACTAAAGAAAGAAATAACCTTATGCACATACCTTAAGAGATCATCAGGATGTGATAAAGTAGATCTAGCGGCAAAGTTCAACGTATTTTTTGATATAAAGGTACCATTCAGCACTAATGAATTCTACGCACACAACTTATATGCTTGGAGTTGCAGTGTTTTCAGTTCAGCTCCCGTCCAATTACTCAAATAAAAGTCAGTTAATTCTAATGAAAAGTACTTTCAAAAAAAGGTTGATTTTTCAGGATTTGAAAGATACAAATATCATTGTACTAAATCCACTCGTTATGAACATAGCAGAATATCTTTCATCCAGTCATCCGGATGATCTGCGATATCGCTTGAGCATCGCATATGCGGTGCGTGTTTTAGAGCAACAGAGTCAGGTATAATTACTATTAGTGATAAACTAATTATTTGTAATACTTATTATATAATACCCAATTCATGTTATTACATCCGAAAATTCTATATTGCGTACACTAAAGTTTTTGACAGCTGACCTATGAGTGTTTAATATTATCATTATTATTTTGCCGAAATAACTTAATAAATTCGATGAAACTATATTAATATGGAAAAGATCTAGCCTAAGTAGCAGTTAGAACACCGTTATGGACCACTGTTGATTCCATCAGAAGGTTTAAAGTTAGGGTAGAATGATTGATTCATTCATAAATTAAAATTCCCACTAAAATGTTGATACAAATTTTTTAAACTGGCGGATGCGTTTTTTAGACTTATGAAACTGGACTAATAATATTTCTATTAGTTTTCGTCCTTAGATTGTTTAATTCATTATTCTTGTTGTAATGAGTTGCTGATATTGTGGTATTCGTAATCGGATAAATCTGCAGGAAAAGTGTTCTAAGACTTAAGCACTAGTTCATAAGCTTTACCGAATAATCCGTTTGCTAGATCTTATTGCAATAACTTCTTTTACTCCTTTTGACCAAACCTTTATTAAATAAGAAAACTGATTTGATAAACTGGCTCTAGGTTATTTGTTGAATCAAATTTACATACACCGTTACTTGGGATTTTAAATGATAAAACTATACATTTCAGTTAATGACAAATATTGACATTACTAGGAATCAGCTTTTCCCAACATGGAAGAGTGATGAAGAGTTTGTCCGACGCTTTCTGATGTTTGGCAATTCTGATGGCATTTATTTTGCAAGGCAAATTGACTTTACATGCACTTTAGTCCCCGATCTGTGCCGTATTATTCAATCAGGTAGGTCGTTCTTTCTTCTTAAACGGTTTTGAAGAAAATATTCCTAAGAACTACCAAAAGCAAACGCTCTGGAAATCACTAAAGAATAGCGTATCAAACAGTATGATAGCATACGCCTGCTTGTATTTATTGTATTTAGTATCATAGTGTTTAAAGTAATTTTCCGAGTTTCAGGATCACTTATTGCTTTTGTTATTTCTTATTGTAGGTAAAGGACTGATGATTTTGCAACAAATTTTGGAAATTTCGGAATCAAATCCTGCTCCGAAAAAAGAACCGCTACTAATGGCTCTTGCCCTTTGTGCACGTTATAAAGTTTGTTGTATTTGAAAATTAAATTCTTTTCGAAAAGCTTATATTTAGTTTATAAGCAAAATAAGAGCTGATGAGATATTGAAACCACTTCCTTAATCAGGTTCACGATACTCAAAGCAAGAAGAAATTACCGTGGGATACAACGGAGGAAAGGGAAAAACTATTACCGGATGCCATTTGTCGAGACATTAGACCGGTCATGGAAAAAAGTTACCAAGGATGTCTTCAGAAGGCAGCTCTTTTTGCTGTACACAAGGTTTGCTCACAGAGCTCGTTTGAATTAAGATTTCCAAAAATGACTACAAAAGAAGATATCGAAAAAAAATTGCATTTTTCTAAATTATTTGCCTGCTGTTCGCACTAAAAAGTCACTGCTTGCTTTGAGAGGTCAGGAAGAAATTCTGTTAGTCTTTAATATACGGTAATAATAAATAGCTGATATAGAGCTTAGAAAACGAATATAGAAAATTGAATGCACATTCCTCATAAAATTGTAATTAACAGCTAACTATTCACAAAACATTCAGTACAAGCTTACACTTGGAGATGAGTTGAGAGATATGCTAGTCAATTTCAAGTATGTACTTGAACCTGGATTTGCTGAAGACATTTGCAGGTGTGCGTCACGCCTACTCATTTGTTTACATTTATCGACTATTGCAAAGTGGTGTCAAAGGAAAGTGGACTTAAGAAAGATTCTAATGGTTGGGGGCGTGCATTGCGTGCAACCGTTGTCAAATGGTTTCTTTTTTATTTTATTTTATATATAAACATACTTGTATTTTACTATTCCGACGCTTTTCAGCTTTAACATTCTGTCACGTTCCCTTTTGAACTCGCTCTTTTCGTCCATAAAAAAATTCTATGCATATTAAAATTCTGTATGTATTTTTGACGTATTCTGTATATTAAGACATTTTTGAATTATTTATGTGTATTGGTCTTCTTGACAGAGTCAGATATTTTGATAATGCTGATGCTTGTTCTTGGCAAATTATATGACCTCCTAGTTATATCTCTCATCAAGAAATTTATATCTACAAGAAACACAGCATACAAGATAATATATTTTAAGGTACTACAATCATACTCCAAACCGTCTCGCATTCATCGTCACTAAATATCGTTATCGTGAAAGTTACTCGCATCGAGATTTGTTTTGCCTTTGCCATATCCATCCAAAGCGAAGTTTTTCATCCGAACACAACTACTGGCAACATCAAAAGGAATACGACGATATTTTCAAACATGTTGCCAGGAATCACAAAGGTATTTATTGTCATTTGAATCACTTGACAATATTTTGATAAAAGTGATGTATTTTGTACAGAGAAAATATGAAGTCTTGAATACGCCCTCTTCTTCTTCCCCCTTAATTTTTAGGTTAGGAATGATTGAAACGGATATATGAAAAATGTTGCCAGCAGGATAGAAAATAGCATAGTAGATTTATCCTTCGAATTATTTACGTGTTTTGTCTTCTTGACATTCAGCGTATTTGATAATGATAGAAGCAAAATAATGAAGTGTTTTTATCGAATATGATTGTTTCTAAGCAAGCAGTGTCGGGGGAGTGTTACATAAACAGTAAGAAAATTCCTTTTCAACTGTGAAAGTCTATAAAAAGTATAGTTTGTATTAATCTTAGGTGTATGAAATACTGCACAAACTTTGTTTCCATTAACTTTTACTATTTTCTTGAATCATCGGAGTATTGAAAGAACTCTTGATATAAATGCCCTAGGTAATGAAAAGGAAGGAAAGGAGAGGAAACGGCGACAAGAATTATTACCTGATAAGCAATCCAAACGAGGTCGTTTAGATCTAGAAGAAACAGAACAAGTACGAAAAAATTTAGAAGAGCTAAATTTGGAACGATCTGAAGAGAAAGAAGCTTCTAAAGACTTTGTAGGACTAGCTAATCCAGTCGTAGATGCAACTGCGTATATTAATGCCTTTAATAGGCTTCAGGAGTTAGCATCTGCAAATTTAGAAGAAGCAATTACACTCATTCTTCAATATGGCAAGTATTTGTTCGATTGAAATTTTCTTTGAAGTTTTGCAGTGAATTGTCAACTTCTTTACAAATACGATATAAATTCTTTTTTCAAAACCAATTAGCTGCATATTCTATCTTAATATCAATTTTTTTTTTTACAAGAAATGCAAATAAATACATAGGTCATTATCGTTACAATGTTTTGTATGACTGCAATTGAGTTAAGTTGGATGTGTCTTGAAATTTAGAACCATTCCTGGAAATTAGAACTAGAATAATAGTAGCAAATATTTCTTATTATCTAAACTCAATAAATAAAGAAGAAGGAACTAGAAATTAGTAAGAAACCTCTATTAAGTGCATGTGAACTACTGTCATCTTAAGGTTTTGAAAAAGAACAAGTGCCACAGAAATTTCTCAGTTTTAAAGAAGTTTGGGGTGCTTTGTTAAGAAGGATGTCATTAAGCGCAATATTAAAAAACATGGACAAAATGAGCAGCGTTGACCTTTTTGAAGAACAAGATGCCAATATGTGAGGACTTTTCTCAAAGTTTCAATTTAACATTTCTTCTAAGACATTAACTCATCATTATATAATGCATTTTTAGGACATAACTTTGTGAGCAGAATTAAACAGTCATTTCAGCAATACAACGATTGGAAAAATGTCAGAATATTGTTCTGATTTTTATGAAAGATTTGCAATTTCAGTTTCGATTATCTCAGTGGTGTATTGAGCAATATATCATCGTTTTTTTACGACGATTACGAAAATTACACGGACTTTACAAAGTAACTATGCGGCAAATGTCTGAGTTGACCAAATTATTTTGCATTACATTCTGTGGACGAATCCACAGAATGATGAAATTTAAATGAATAGGCAAGTAACAATTAAAAGTAAAGTCTAGGAGTGACAATATGAGTCATTTTAGCGATGATCCAGTATCTTTGATTGTCAGAAGATTGAATGATATTGAAAAGTTGCGGCAAGAACGATTTCATCCACTTGCAATACTATCAGCCAAAACAAGCTATGAACATGGTTATGAAATGAAGCGGAAGCGCATATGGAAACCAATTAAATCGATCCAAAGAGCCTTAGATAGCGCGTTTTACAATTGCATAAATGTTATTGGAGTCACTCACCGACGATATCTTATAGCAGTAGATATTTCGGGTTCGTCACTTTCTTTTTGGAAGTATTCTTAGAAAAGTTAAGTTCATAGAAATTGATTTCCCTCAGCAAATACATCAAAAAATTTCACTCGTTTCAGACAGCATGGATAGTTTTGTGCAGGGCACGACGATGGCTTGTAGTCAAGCAGCAGCCACTCTATCAATGGGACTCATTCACCATGAAGTCAATGTAAGTAAGATGGACTGTAAGTAAAATGGAATTCTAGTGTAAAAACTGATGTGCTTTTTAACTTATCTCTGCAACCCTTACTTTAAAATCAATGTTTCGAAAGCAAATACAGTCATAATTATTCAGGTAATCCCACTAGCTTTTTCCGATTTTTTGATGCGCCTGGAGTGGGACAGATTTATGAGCTTAGGCGAATACTTAACTGCTGCCAAAAAGTTGAAATATGGTAAAACAGACTGTGCCGAACCGATGCTTTGGGCGATCGAGCATGCAATATACGTGGATGTTTTCATTATTTTAACGGATAATGATGTTTCAGTTAAATCTGTTAGTTGCTTTTCTCCTTGTTTTTAAATTATACGAAATCAAATTTAATGAAAAAGAGAAATCTTTTTATTAATGAATCATTGACTACAATGCCCATAATTCTTTTTTTTTTTTTTTTTTTTATATCAAATGTGATACAATGCAGTAGAAAAACTTTGCTTTTGAAAAAATATACTAAAATAAATGGTTCTATTATTAATTTGTTTTAATCTTTGCAATTTGTGTTAGTTATGATTTATTGATGGACTAGTGAAATCATTCATTTATTCCTTTCTCCTTATATCGTTCAATAATTCGGAGCTGAAAAGTATCATCAGCTTGATAGAACTTGCAAAAATAACCACGTAGATCCATTAGTAATATAAACTTTGTTTAAGATGAAACCATCTGATGCTATTCAGTGGTATCGCCAACAAATGAGGATGCCGAACGCAAAGTTGATTGTGGTAGGAATGACCGATAAGTCAGGGACACTGGCTAATCCTAATGATCCAAATATGTTGGTTATTTGTGGTATGAATCCATCAGTTCCTCAAATTATTCATGATTTTGTCGTTAACGTTTAAACAAATTGTCAGTAATGTAATTCAGATGTTGTATGCATTACACTGTGCTATGATAATTAGTACTATGAGTGGCTGCAATACGGGACATCATTCCTGTGCTTGTACGAAATTTATTTTATATTTTTCAATTCGTAAGAGTAGTTAAAAGATTCAAACTGTATGATTAATATATTTCTAACATTTATTTTTTTTTTTTTTAATAAATCCATTTATCTTCATCGGAAACAAACATCAAGTTCACATTTTCGAGATTACTGTTATTATTAAATCTTTTTGTAAATCAAATTACCATGTGGTAACATTAAGAAAAGTAGTTCATTAAAAGAAGTTCTTTTTGCACTGCTTTTTAAATTGTTACTAGCTAGTGCTTTGAAATTGAAAAACGGGAAAATTGCACAGCTTGAAAACTTATTAAAATCTTCTACACATTTGAAAGATCTAAATCGAGCAAAGCACCTTTTTGATTTTATCTTGAAAACAAGTTAAGGTAACATATTCACATCAATATGATAAATCCTGTGTGTATCATCGATCAACGCAAGGAGTGAAACAAGAATTAATGCAGTTTTTTCTTCCTTCAGGAATTAAAAATATTTAAGCAAACATTCTTTGTATTTTTTGCTGATTGGGAATCGCTATGCGCTCTAGCAGAAAGAACCTGCAAACACAAATGACTGTTTGCTTTAGATATTTCTATAAGCACATATGAATATTAGAGTTGAATAAGAGCTGGTTGTATTAGTGTTTATTTTACTTTTTCATCATTTGTTTGCACTAAGCGTCTACTTAAGTCCTGGAAATTGATCAAATTTATCACGAAATAGAAGCAATAGTTCATGTTGACAAGCGTTATAATACATTCGAAATGTTGGAATAATATTTAGAATATGAAAGCTGAAGTTGCGGAAGACTGTTTCAATTCAGTTTAATTATTTTGCTAAATTCTAGGAAATTTTATTTTTATTCTTGACAAAATTCTGTCTTCTCCTTAATTCTAGGCGAGTTTTAAATAAGCATTCACGAAAACCTATAGCTAAAAATTGACTCATTATAATTCTTATGCTATACAAGGAACATGAGTACTACTACAAACGAACCGTGTCGCTTTCAAGCACGTTTGGTTGGTGGAAATTTCATTGAATTACCAGTGGAACAGTTACGGCGCATTGCAAATGCCAATGGAGTAGATTCTATCGAACAGGAAACAAAGCACTTTTCATGTAAGTTATTCTCACTGTACTATTTGCTGGGTGAATGAAGAACGAAGAAAGAGGAAATTAGATTTGACTAGTTTACTGGAAATAGCGTAATACTTGTCTTGTAGGAAACAGTTATAGACAGTACAACTCTACATGGTCCATTACGACTTTACAAAGGAAAAGGATATGGAAAGATATTCTGGTGTTCGGTAATGTGTTCTGCTGCAATATTCTTATCACTTCAAATAAACATACTGGTAGCATATTTCATATCACATCCAACTGCAACATCTGTCACCTTTGTCCCTGCCGAAATGCTTATTCTACCCGCAGTAACTGTGTGCAACTACAATCCAATCACCAAAAATTATGTTCGATGTAAGTTCAGATATTGGAATTTGTTATTTTTTTTTTTAGAATTATATTTAGTACCATGACGTACTGTTTCAATTGAGACTAAACGTGGCACTTTGTGCAGTAGATTTAAATTTCGGTTCATACATTCTTTTGTTCATCATAGCTAAATTTTAAACTACTTCCATCCTTCAGGTACAGGCATCTCCAAATAAATATAGACAAATATAAACTAGGATATTGAGAATGTAAGTAAGTTGTAAATATAAATTTCAACAATTCAGAAATGAAATGTGAAATATATCAAATACAGATTTGAATGAATCCAGTAGTGGCTCTGGCTATTTCACCAATGATTTGTTGCGCTACATGACAATGGCTTACAGTGAGGTGGAAGACTTATATTTGCACGCGAACAACGATACGATCGAAAGAGGTCGACAAGCATATGAATACTTCAAAAGCATTTTTACAGAGTATCCATTTAATATCGAGAATTTCTTCGCACGAGCTGGGTATTAATCTTTGGCTTTATTTTTTAATCATTTTGACTTGCTTTAGAGAACTTCACTATCTGAAAGGACAGACTTCTTTTTAAGCATAAATGTTATAAAAATAAAACGTATGAATGGAAAGTACTTGATCGTTTCATAAATTCGTCCCACATTTTTTCTTTGTCACAAATATTACCCCACCATTGACTTTGTCACCAAAAATCATGTCTAACAAAAATGTTTACTCTTGACGATTTATTGGAGTTCTATAAATTCTGTCACGAAAAAGGTGGAAGTTCAGCGTAGAACACCTAGGAGGCAAGGTAGAAAGTAAGGTAAAAAGAACTGATCGATTACAACTCAATATATCAAATCAAAATGGAATTTGTCTGATTTCATTGTATTTCTTTGACACAATATCTTAAGGACTTTATTTACTTAGCATTCACAAACGTGATCATGAATGAAAATGTGTCTTCTTTGAATCACTTTCTTACTAAAGAAGAAAAACATAGGCTTACTGAATATGTTCAATACTTACAAAAAGAAAATTATGCAGAACGAACAATATAAATTAATGCATATTATCACATTTAGAATACGTAACTTATCTCATCAGTTTTTTGCCGCACGAAATTTATCAATTAAATTCAGGTTTGCTTGTCATGAAATGCTTAAAGTTTGTTCTGTGGGTGGCACCAAATTAGATTGTTGTGCAATGTCACGAAAAGTGCTCACTGACCTGGGTTCATGCTTTGTATTTTCGCTCAATGACATGAAATTAAATCAGACCCAACCAGGTATTTTCAATGGGTATGTTCATTTTTTATAGAAAGCAATTTTCGATTTACCCTACATTAAATTCAAGTTCCAAAAGATTAAAAAAAGAAATTGCGAAGTTGGAAGATACAAATTTTTAGTAGCCGAAATTGGGATGTACTAATCAGAACAATTAGCAATACAACTTGAATAATCGGTCTTCCTTTACTTTTCAAATTTGTAAAACCGAATGTCATAAAAAGGCTATAAAATGATAAGGTGGGAGATTGTTACTTCGTTTTTTAGAATCTTGTTGAGCAGATTCATATTCTATAATTTATTTAATTGTTAGATAGTGTTTAGATTGCAGCTGATATTAGATGCTGGAATAAATGATGCTATCGCTGTTAATTATGCTGAAGAAGGTTACTTTGAATTTTAATTGAATATGTTTATAAAAAGTGGAAGTCCTCAAAGTGAAATTAGTTCAAATCTTATCACAAGTTTATCGTGCAAATAAAAAGCATTGTTTTAGGGAATGCTTTGCCAATCTTTTCTAATAATCTAGAAGATGGATTTCGATTATATGTTCGAAGTGAAAATGAGTTAGCATATTCATATACAGAAGGCCTTTCGGTCTCACCTTCCTATCGTGCATATATTGCTTTGAATTTAGAAACGGTATGCTTTTTCTAAGAATTTGATCTCAATATTTGATTTGTACTAATTAAAATAAGTATTATTGTAATATTTTATACATAATGGTTTCAAGATATACTTAGAATCGCTGTTGTATGCAGAAGTTCTGCGCAAAAATCGACAAATGCTCTTTTAGTTTCATTTCCTGACTCCTGATAGTTGGGGAAATTGTACGCATACCTGGCCATTGAAATCGCCTCAACGAGCATTTCGTTTACCATACACGGCAAAAAACTGTGCATCACTTTGTCAACAAGTACGTGTTTTCGTTATTTTTTATCGTCTGTGTTCATGTCCGTCGAAAGCATTATTGTGTCTTTCACTTTGGAATGATTTCGTTGTACTTCTTTGATTTATACGTTTACTCATTTAGATTTACTATGAACAAAGAATTAATTGCACTCCACTATTATACAGCGTTGGTGATGGTTAGACCTTGAAATTTAAAATTTTAATTCTTTTGCTTCTCAATTTTGAGTTTTCACTCAGTTTTGCATATTTCTTCAATTTACATTTAGCGCTTTTAGCTCATCTGAATACTTGTACACCAAGCGAACTGCATGCATTCATGCTTCAAGGTAATTGGTCCAATCTTCAGAATTCAAGTTCTTTTAAATTAGAACTTTCAATTAGCCACTTTTTCATTGGGTAAAGTAAGAATATTTGTTTAATTTATATTTAGATTTTCATTTTTCCATAACTTTGATAAATTTAGTTGCTGACCGGACAAACAATATCAATGGCCCTGAATGCGCAGATAACATCTGTCCAACGTCCTGTGTAACCCATGAATATAAGGCATCGATAACTTATGGATATGGATTTTCCGAAAGTGCTATGGACTGGCTGACAAATATTAACAATAAATGGACTCAGAAGTATATAAAGTATGATTTTAATTATGAGTTTCCTCAAATAATCATCGAGCTTCATATAATCATTAGTTCACTGATTTCTCGCGATTCATCGAGAAAGTGATTTATATTGGAATTTTTACAGGGGAAATTTTGCTGTGGTGAATATCTTTTATCGTGAAATGTCTTATTTATTAAATGAACAAATGCAGTCAACGTCGCTGGTGGATGTACTGAGTAACGACAACTTTGATATGAAATGATTGTGATATAATTATATCAACATTCAGGGAAAACCCTAAATGAAAAATACATAAAGTATCAGAAAATATTTGCTGCATATATTTTAACAAAGTGCTGGAATTTAATTTCTAGGTAATATTGGTGGAAATATGGGATTGTTTTTTGGAGCAAGTGTGATAACAGTCATTGAATTAATCATATTTCTATCTAAGCTAGTTTGGATTGCATTTTCTAGTCGACGTCGAGAATATATGTTCCACAAATGTCAGAAAGAACGTGATCGTGAGAAACGCCTCACAACAGTGATCAATATCGCTTCTGTAAGGCATTAAACTCTAAACCAAATTTTCCTACTTCATATTCTTACTCAAATCATCGAAATGTTAAACATATTTAATGAATACGAAATTCTTTACTTCTCTTTGTCCTATTTTCCCGAAATATAAAAGCTGAAATCATACATGAGTTGCAGTATTCGAGGCGAAGCTGTGATGGAACAGCACAGATTGAGGAAAAGAAAATGGTTACTCATCCGAAGAATACAATTTAAAAACTGACAGAGAATATGGGAAAACATAAATAGTGATATCTGTTTCAGCTATTGTATTAAAGTGATAATGGGTTGGGTTGCATTATTAAGCTAAATGATTATCATACACACACCTTGTTTATTGGCTACCTCATTTTGCTACGTTCAGTTTTTTTTTTTTCTTATGTGAAATTTTAATATAAAAATTTTGTGCACCTTTTTTGAGGAAGAGAGAAAGAATCTACATGAAAATAATTGGTTGTTAATCAAGTATGCAATATGTTATAATTTAGTTTAGTTTGATCGTGACTAACTTAAGAATGATATTCTAACGAAAGTTAGGAATGGCATTCTGTCACCATAGTGAGTCTTACGTGCTGTCCTATATGCCGCCGTTTTGAAAAATGGCAGTTAAATAACAATTATTACAATCGACTATCTAAAAGTCTTGAAATCTTTCACTGGGTCACCAAAAAAAAAGTAAACATGGAAAATAGATAAAAGAATCGGTGTGCATTCCATGAATTCCTGCTTAGTTGAGTCTAAAGATTATGACAAAGATGAGCAAGTATTTTTTGAGATATTAGGATACATCACACAGGAGGCCACAATGAATATTAACCAATCAGTTAATCAATAATTAATCAGTCACAACATTTACAAGGTCTTCATTTGCTTATTGATTAGGAAAGAATGACAAGAGTAGTTTCCTATGGCTGGATAATGAATTTACTAGAAGTGAAATAGGTTTATGCAATTCATTTTTCATGCATTTGTCGTGGAAAATTTGAAAATTTAATTACTATTTTGGGAGAGGCTGTTAATTTCGGGATATGTGGGATAACAGAGGATTATAATATTTCTTTCATTGGCAGAAACAATAGTACAATAACTGATAGAGAAGAATTGAAGTTGAACTCTCCTGGTTCTCGGTAAAAACACACAATGCCCCTTCTCAGCACGGATGACCTCCTTATATAGCAAGCAATGTGCATAAACAAAGTATATGATTTACAATTAGAGGTTGACCTGTCGAAAGAGTAATCGATCTAAGAATGAGCTGTTGACTTGGTTTACAAGCAAATCTAATTACTAGTTGACAAGCCGTAAAGGACAATAGTTAAGTAAAAGTTGTTAACCTCGTAGATTGATGGATAATTTACAATTAGTAGTGATACAACAATGAGGTCAACTAAATGAAGAACTGATACCGTGTAAACAATAGATAAAAGATTTACAGACTAAACATAAGATTGGAAACAAGTTCAAGGTACCAACATTGTGTTGTAAGGCGTTTATAGAATATATTTCTTATGCATATTCTCAACTCTCATATAATATTTTAAAGTTCGCGATATTGAAATCCGCGATAGTATTCGATAAGATAGAAGGAGCAAAAGAATGAATGACTGGATTTTTTATCAATGTATAGCCCTGATAGTAAATATTTCCCGAGACCACCACACTCTTCCTATCATTGTTGGCAGCAGCATTGTATACATTGGTGTTACCCCACTTCTTTTACACCCATGTCGCCTAACAGAACCGCTACATTTGTTTTTCTCCTCCTCTTCCACCTCTTCCTGCCATCCTCCCCCTTTGCAAACTCACTATAAAACACATATCTAATTGCCAGAAGAGCAAAGTGATGCAACCGTACGACTTTGTGCGATATTGTTGATAAACATACTGAACTCTATGTCCTAGCAACTTTTTCCAAACGGTTTTTTTCGAATAAACTGGAAAGTTCTAACACACTGGATGGTAGCCATTAAGATTATTATAAAGCAAAATATGTTTTCATATGTTCTGAAGCAATAGATTTTGTTGAAGCAAGCTAGGACTTTAATTATAATTAACTTACTGACAAGTTTCACAGTGTTTAATAAATCATTTGTTTGACGATGAATTTCATTCCTTATTTGAAGTGCAAATATAGCATGATTGATTCCATTTGTTTCCGTCTCACTCAGTTTCTCTTCTTTTACTTTGATCGTGATTGTGTTTCACATTAGTGCCATCTAAGTGATAAGTGATTAGGCAGGATCGGTCTTTTCTTTGTCTCTTAAAGAGATCGACTGAATTCACATCATTTGGCAATCTTTTCTGCAATATTTCTGATACAACAAAATGGTGCATGTGCACCCCTTACCTCAAATGAAATGATACTGTTTACCTGACTTGCTATCTGTTCGTATTCCGCTTTTTGTTAATATTCAGTCCCTTACAGCCTGTTTTTCTGTCATTTTGTTTGCTTCACCAATATTTAGTTTCCATGCACTTCCTGATGTTTCATTTCATTCCCAACTTCTGCAGTAAAAAAACAAACATAAAAGTGGTTGTTCAGGTTTCACGCTGCTCTTGTCAGTACTAATAACGCTTTTTTCGAAGACAAGCAGTTATGGCTTTGTCACAAATAGAACGGCTGGTTAACTGGCTTAGGGAAGTTGCTGTTCGGAGAAGTTTAGTGGAACATGCAACTAAGAAAGAATTCTTGCAAATGATGGGTAATTCCTCTTTTCTTTTTTTCGAAGAAAATGGATAAGAAATCAAAAATGCTTTCGGCATGAAATTAACTGATTCGAAATTCAGGAAAAATACACCGTCTTTCCTCTTATTATTTTTTATTTTTTTAGTTTTCGTATTGTTTTGCATGCCTTGGTCAGGTAAGTCCATTTCTCTCCCTTCGAGCTTCCCCTACATTTTCAGGTACAACAAAACTACATGGCTGTTATAGACTTTATGCTGGAAAAACTTACGGTCGTCTATTTTGGCTACTTGTAGCCATTTCAACAGGTGTAGTTTTTGTTATCATTTTGGCAGAATTAACGAAGCAATATAAGGCGGAGAATGTCAGGACACAGGTAAATGTTTTTCAAAACTCTCAAAGTAAGCTTCATTTTTTTCACAAGCAGAAGCTTAAAATGATGAAATCTTGTCCCACAAATATAAAGGAAATGATCTTTCTCGTAGGAAAGAAAGGTTGAATATACAGTTCGTAAAAAACCGAGTTATGTATTACATCTAAGCAGAGAGAGTTTTAAACTCCTAAATTATTTATTTATCTATGACTTCTTTCCAGCTATATGCAACATTCTTAATGTGCAAGCATTCTATTTGTCCCACCCACACTTTGATATTTCATTTTAATTAGCTGATAAAATAGATTTCCCAGAAATCACTATATAATTTGTAATTGTTTGCAAAACTTAGGTGGAAATAGTATATGATTATGCGGATGGTCCATCATTAACGATATGCAGTCATAATCCTGTACGACGTAATTACATTAAAGGTACGGCATTATTTTTTCTTGTTATTCGTTTTGCGTAATTTATTTCTTTTGCTTTTGCAAGCAATAAATTGATCTACTTTTTCAATAAGAAAATATAAACTTTGTATTTCAGTTAATACTTACGTTTTGTACTCATTTTCCTCCTGCGTTTATGTTAAAATGTTTTTTAGAGCTGAAGAGAACTACAACTTTTTCCGATGAACTGTTAATGTATCTATTACACATCTTTTTGCGCCCAGAAGACTTTGTTGAAATGGATGTTGTGGATGGTCTTCTTGATGGAGAAAGATTGCTGCAAGATTATATGTTTACAAATAAGAATTTTACAGTGGACTCCTTCGTTAAGGAAGCCAGGTTTTGTTTCACGAATTTAATAGTGGGAAGTACTTTCACTTATTTAATAAAAGATTGGTTTCATCAATGTTTTTGTGTTCTAACATTATAAACAGTTTCTCCACTACTACTTCAAATATGGATAAATTCTATTGAGAAAGTCACTATTATAGTTTCAAATGTGAAGAAGCTTTTGTGCAGTGTGCTTTCGAAGGTATCATATTCGACTGCTGTAATGAAAGATACTCAACTGCTGTGCTCACTGATCTCGGGTATTGTTTTCAATTTGATTGGAACAAATTAAGCAAGGATTTCAGTCTTTCCTATCACTTTGGATCCGTTCATGGGCAAGTCTTTAATTCTCTTATAGGCTTTTCTTTTACTGAATTAATAAGTGAACTATCTTTAAAATATACAGAGGACCATTAGTTCTAAGTATTGCTTACGGAAATGCTGAAGATCACTTTATGATTCTGAGTTTGGCTCTTGTCTTTGAATGCTCAGCCTTTATTTCCATGTTTTAAATTATATTCATTAAAAAATGAGCAGTTTTTTACAGGACATTTAATACTATGTATTTTTTACTGCTTAGAAATTGATATTAGTAATTCGTTTCTTCAGATTTCAAGTGATGCTTGATTACCAGTCATACAATGAAATTTACTCTGTAAATTATACAGGTATCGTATTAAGTTTGATTGTATATCTCTTAGGGATAGTTCTGTTTTATTTCATCTCATCAATCTATGTATCTCACTCCGTGATCTATATAGTCTTTTGAACTCAGTTGAATTTTAAATTGAAAACTTTAGAGTTAAATATAGTAATTTCGTTGTCCCGGCAAAAAACAGCTGTTTCAGGTAGTCGAATAAAACAACCGTTTCTGAACAACTTCGAACCTGGTTTTCGTATTTATGTTCATGATAAGGATACTATTTCATACGTTAGTTCTGAGGTTCTTGTCGTCTCACCAAACAATAAGCTCTCTGCAGGACTGAAGCCTATTAAGGTTGTTTTTTGAATGCTGTTACTTCAATATATAGTTCATTCAGTTCTAAAAGATACTTTGATTTCTTGCAGTACCAATTTCTGGAGCGTTCTAAAGGCGGCACTTGTTATAATACTTGGCCGTTATCTTTGCGGCACAATTCTACATATTCTTCGTCAGCTTGTAAAATGGCGTGCATAGCAAGATATTTCATTGTGAATTGTGGTTGTATTCCTCTCCAATATAATATTTTGATGGGTGAAACCTTTTCTTTAAAGTGGTCAGACCTGACTTAAGCTATAAGATCATTAACGAAATACGAATTAAGTAAAGCTAGACAACTTCATGCTCAAAACTGTAAAAAGCAAGACGATAAAAATCCAGATTAAATAGATTATGTAAGCAATATAAAATTAACTGGATTTTTTTAATACAAAGTACTGTTTTTAATGAACTCTCGAAGGTATTGCAGAAGGTAGGCTTTGCTCTCCAAAAGAGATCTTCGATTGTATTAACGACTTTACAGAAATTGCGAGTAAGTACTTCAAGAACCATGTTAAGAGTTTCTTGATCTTTATAAATGAATTATTCATTTTAAGCAATGAAAAAAAAGCTCATTTCTTCTTTCTCTTTCTTTTCAGCCAGTGTTTCTTTTGTATGAATTTTTATAGCTTTCAACCAACTTTTCCATTAGAAAATCATTTCTAGACCTCATTTCTTAGAATTGCTCCTTTTTAGGTATTGTTCATAATGTTACTTACTCTTCTTTATGTCAAGATTGTGCACCGGAATGTGAACTTTTCATTTATTTTACACAGAATTCTATTATCCACAACATTCTTACCTCATTGGGTAAATATATGGAAGGCCTGAAGCAGCAGTACAAGCTTAGCTATGTCAGGTGATTTGGAAACTAGTTTTTCTGATTCCTCTTCTGATCGTCTTTCTATGATTATTTTTTGAGAGTTTCCGATTTATTTCTTAAAAAGAAGGCCTCTCACTTTAGCATACTCAAAACACAAAGTGTTGAAAGTCAATTAATGTCATATCATGATTTGTTACAAATGGCTGGATGTTGCTGTATGCAAAGAATAAATTGATCATATATGGTTTAGTTAAGGAATAATCTGGCAACCGTACATGTGTTTTTTGCTTCAAAAAAGTATAAGATATATTCGCAGTCAACACTTTCCGATTTATCAAGTTATTTAAGTAAGCATGCTTTTTGTTTTATGTTATATATATTACATTTATTTTTAATTAAAACTTTCTGTTTACTTTTCATCATTTACTAAGTGGATAAATCAGTATTTCTGGTTTTCAAAGCTGGAATTAGTGAATTCAATGTGTATCTTTTTCACATGTGTTGTTGTAATAGTGTAAAACTCTAAGTCCTAAGATTTCAGGTAAAATCGGTAGCGATATGGGTCTGTTTTATGGTGCAAGTGTTATTTCACTGTTTGAACTGATTTTAGTGCTGTTCAAAACAATTTGGGCATTTCTTTCTCCATCACGTGCTATTTATCTGAAAGAGAAAGCCAAACGAGAGGTACTCAAATTAATTTTAACAATTCAGTGTTAACCCCAGTAACCGTCAAATTTATTCTTACACTTGTTTTCAAGAGATTTTCTTATTTCAGATGGAAAGAAAATTGTGCATTGAGGAAATCATAAATGTATATTCTATACCAAACCAAATGGTTGGACATGTCCCACAAAGAGTTGAAGTCTGTAACTTATTAGCGTTAAAAAGTTATGTTTTTTAATAAATTCAAGCACTGTAAGATTCCAAAGTTCAATTTAAAACTCAGATAGATCCATCATCAGAATTCCTAAGTTATGTATGATTTTCATGTTACTCTTTTATGTGTTTGTAAAATAACAGTTTTGTGAATTCCTTGCTCTGGAGATTTCCTGTAAAATTATGAATTCGTCTTATAAAAAACAATCCTTAGCATGACATTACTTTATGCATAACATTATGTGTAACAATAATTGTCAGATACCTACTATTGAATCAGTTGAAGTTGAAGATGTTCATATTTCACTTGTAAAAGAGAGCTTGATTGGAAATGTGCAGTTGTGGCTGAAAAGAAAGTTGCATTCGTTCACACTTTCGCTTCAAGTTCGTTTTATTATTTTTATTTTATTTTTGGCTTCACTTTATTTGCTAGCTTTCGCAAAAATGTTGAAAAAAGAAATCTTTTAACTCGTTAATGACTTGAGGTTTGCAGTCAACACTGTAATGTTTTTCAGCATCCACAACGAAAACTGGATCAAGTGATGTCACTAACATTAACACCAGAGCAAGCTAGTGCAATTTTGGAAGTGGAAACATTTGTTGATTCAATATATGTCCCTCTAAGAAGGGACAAAGTGAGAAATTGATATCCTATAGTTTCACGAACTATTTTTTTTTTTTTTTATCACACAATGTATTGATTCAGAAGTGAATTCGAAACAAACAGTTATATAAAATTGGGATGAAATTTATCTTCTTCATTGTAAATTAACTTCGTACTATTAATTAATAGAAGTCCCTTGATATTGTGATGAAGTAATTGATTTAAATAGGTATGCGTTAAAATTTCTCTTTGCAGCTGTTATCGACAATCGGAAGTGACAATAGCAAACGATGTATTTCTGTAGTTTGACCGTTTTTGTGCTGATAGTATATTACCTGCAGCTTGGATCATTATATATGAGCAATAGTATAATTACATTGTGAATGCTGCGTTCAGTATCAAATTTACAAATAAAATAACTGATCTAGATTATCTGCTTTTTCTGTTATAAAGCACTTCATAAGGCTGACCCGGAATTCTCCTACTATATGGTGACTATAACTTATTGAATAAATTGATTCGAAGATATCTTGATATGGGTTAAATTGTTTTAACTTGTTTTAAGTTGATAATGGTGCACAACCACTAGATATTTGAGCGTTTCTTCTCACTGTTGGAGTTTTGCCGTAGCGTTAATTCCTCTTATTCCACGCCATTAACGAAACCTCTCTAAATCAAAAAAAAACTAATGAGTAGGGTCATTGGATTTCCAGTTCTTTTGGCTAATCACTAGTTCTCATGTTACGTGAAGTATGAGCAAATTGGTTGCTCGCAATAAAATTGTAACTAAAACGATTTTATAAAATGACTGAAAGCAGAACAGTAACAGTTATCGGTAAATTATGTTGAGAATTTTGTGCATTTAGCATTTCCAATTAATTTAAAGCTTTTTAGAACTTATAAGTTTATCCAAAGAAAGTGGGGAATTCTTGTATATATAAGAAAAGGCCTAGTTCTCAACTCCAAAAGCAAGAGAAATAACATTACGAACAATCATTTTTATTGTCTTTTTTCCATTTCTGGATTGTTTTAAAATAAAGTCCTGATATTTACAGTAATAAAAGGGAAGTTAATTTAAAATTCATTTGAATAAAGGCAGTTATCATTAACAAAATTTTTGGTAAGCATTCATGTACCATAAAAGAAATAAATGATTGGAAGAAGGTTAAGTATTATAAGCTGGTTAATAGTTGGGTTACAGCTTTAATTTCCTTACAGCTGTCTTGCAAAAGTCAAACCCATGTGTAGGTACGTACTGAAAATTTGCGAGCTTCTGTGTTTCGGGTAATTCGGTGATTCTTTTCATCAAAACTTGCTTTACTTGCTCTTTTTAAGCTGATTCATTCAGATATCTTCAAGGTTGGAATTAGAAAATAGCATCAAATTCATATCATGCAGTTTAAATGTTCCTTGAAATCTTAATTAACTGTCGTGCTCCAAGTTTTGCTACATTTTCCATCATCGATGCCAATTCCCGTTAAATATTTTAGCATCTTTTTTCACCTAACTTAGAGTTTCTTTTTTTTCTTTTTTTCAAATTCTGCATCCATGCTTTCATGATGCTTCCCTGCTCTTCATAGTTCCGAAGCGGGTTCTTCTAAATATCGTTTCGCATAAGTATTGGTTCCATTAATTTTCGGTAATGAAATCGATTTTTCGTTTACACTTTGATACGGTTGAAGTTTTCGCTTAAGATGAGCTACCGCCACTTTCACCACTTCTCAATGTCACATATTTTGCTTCTGTTGATTTTTAAATGGGTTTGTTATTCTATTTTTTTTTTGTTCAAACTGAACCGCAAGTATTCGCAAGCTTGGTGATTTGCCATGCAATTGTAATCAGGGCTGCAATTCATTATCAAATGAAATGGCAAGCATTACAAAAATTGGATATCATCATAAAAAGAATTTTCATCAAATTCAGTTGTACTCAGACGTTGATAGGAAGATGTATCCATGATGATTTTATTTTTGGACACATTTTTTTTTAAACGAACCGAAAGCAGCATTCCCTTTCCCGATGTTTCAAATAAAAACTAATAATTGAGAGAAATGATTCATGAAATGAGTGTTTTCATGAAAAAGTGCCAGTTCAACAATACAGTTGAATTTGAGATATTATGATATCAGTAAGGTTCAAGACAAAAATATGACTTCAAACTGAAGTCTTCCTTGGAACCACTAGCTCTCAAGGAACAGTCATAATAACACTCATTAAGACTACTGTTTTGCCTATCATTTATTAAACTCTCAAAGTTACAAATACCGGAAAAATGCAAAAAAAAAAGGAAAAAAAATTCTCATCAAAAAACAGACACAATATTTATTTCCTAAGTGGATAAAAAATACAGATTAACAATTACGATGCTAATAAGTTTACATTAAACATATCAACCTTGAACTAACAATTACCTGCAGAACGCTAATCGCAAGATATCGGAATGTAAATTTAAATTTAAAACATTTACATAATATCTATAATCCTAATTTATAATCTCGAAAATTTGAACATAAATTTATATTTATCATCTTATTGCAGAATCGGTTTGTAAACAATTTAGATCACCATGAAAACTGCATTTAAATCAAAAAGGCAATAACGGCAACGTAGGTCAGCTAAAGTACTCACAATAGCAATATTTAAATAAAATACAATCAGAAAAGAACTATAACAATTAATTTTTGCTTTGTGTATACTTTGACTTCTTCCAATCTTCGCTAAGCTGTTTCGGAGAAAAAATAAACAAGTAATGGAAAAGATATATTTGAATAATAAAGTTTAACAATTTAAAAACATTTAAATATCTTTAGCTCGAATCTTTCGGATAAAGCATTTGAATATCAGTAGTTAGTGATGCAGTAAACAAAATGACTGTCAAAACCTAGGAAACTGCTAGCAATCGGAAAAAAAATTACAGAACAGTATATTACGAAAAAGGATACAAAACACTATATATATTCGAAAAATAATTTTTACAAAGAAATTTCAAGAAAATTTTCAAGTAGAAAAAAAGGTCGCAAATTTAAAAAGAAAAAAAAATTAGTCTAGGAGTTTGATAGCGTATTAATTTTCAGAAAGAAGTTAAAGTCCTCTTAACATCAATCAAAAGTCTTTTAAAGGAATAAAATTTATCTAAAAAATATTAAAAATGAGAGAAATTCGAGAATTATATTTTGTATTACTTTGTAATGTAGAAGTTTGTCAAAACAGATGCGAAAAAGAACCAGTTGTTTTGTCGTGAAAGAAAGTGAATTGAGCAATAACAGAAATTACTAAGAAGGAAATGTAAGATTTACCTAAAACTTGTTTTTGTAAAGGAATATGAGAAGGCACATCTTAATAGATAAAGCACAGGTCATAGAGCAATTAAAACAGATTTTAATGCATAACGAGCAGGCACAGCTTTTGCGAAATTGAAGAACGGAATCGTACAAGTGCGTTTTCTTTTCAGGCTTTTACAATAATTAAATTATTCTTCGCTGAAGTTCCGAGACAGTCTTCATGCGTCTTTAGTTATGGATGAAGTCTGCCATATGACTATTGCAGTACGGTCTGCAATTCACTGAATACCAACTATCGAAAAAAAGTGATGCCAGCGATGGAAAAAGTTAAATAATATGACATAACATGCACGATATTGACTATTAGTTATTATGAAATGTACATTGGCTTAACTTTAGCTTTTAATGGTTTAATAGTTAATCATAATTGTGATTCATTTTTCACAATTTTATCACATCGGACTTTGGCAGTGATAATAACTTATTAAACAGTACTTGGGGAAATATTTGACAGGAATAGTTATAGATATCAACAAACAGTAGTCAACTTGTTTGAAGAAAAATTAAAAGAAAAACGATAAAACTCTACAACTAGATGGCACTGATCTCTAGATAAACTATTAAAGTATTAATAAACTAATAAAGGCTTCAACCTTACAGTAAAATATTACATTTTATGTTACTATTGTAATGCATTAAACAAGATTAGTAATACCTATTTCTATTTTCCAAATTGCTATAATTCAACCTTGCCTTACTGCAATTCTGTAACCAAATAAAATAAAAGTGTTATTTTGCAGCTTTTGTCTTAGGCTTATTACTTTTTTCCCCTATTGTGATAAGTCGCATAACCAAATTTGCTGAATTTTAATCATATACAGATTTTAAAGGCAAAGTCAGCAACTGGCTGTTTTATCCTGATTAAAAACTTATTCAGAAATTGAATGAAGACAAAAAATGCAACTTAGTCCAAAACTTTTTGACTGTTAGTTTAATAGAATATCAGTAGGAGAACCATATATCTATTATTTTAACAACTTTGCCAACTCTTCCATCCACCCATCCACCCATTTTGCAGCATTAATTCAACTCATCATCTCACTTAAAACTAATTTCGCTTTTTGTTTTATTAGCTTACTTATTTTCTCATACAATTTCAAACATTTGTTTGACCATTCAGTTTCCATCGAAATCCAATAGCAAGGTTTCATGGTGAAGAACTAAGTAGGAATAGTGAAACTATGAAGTAAAAAAGTTTGGTTTCAGTGCTTTCAGACCTGTTCTGTAGTTTTAGCAGTATAAGGGAGATTATACTACTTAAATCTCAGCAACTGAATGATTTAAGGTTTAATAACTACAGTTAAGCAAGAAATGATTTCTGGACTCGACAATCAACAACTAACGGTTATAAATGATTAAGGTAGGCCAAAAGTAAAATACAGCGCTATTAGAAGTAATATAACAGCTGAGAGTCAAGATGATAAACAAACGACGTTAAGATTGTGTTTTGCAATATTGAAAATAAAATTCGGCGCTGAATTAGTGTTTTAATATGTCCCGCCACCTTCAGAACAGACAATAAATTAAATGGGCAGGACATTTTACTCGACCATCGACAATGCCATCTGTCATTACCAAAGAGTTTCCACAAGAAAAAAGCAGCTACTTGGCTATACCTCAAGAAAATGATGTACTCAAAGAGTAAGACTGGAACCAGAATCCCTAAAATAGTCAGGCATGATAGGATATACGTAATGGAAGAACACTGATCACCACACTGAATAATTTAAGCAAATCTTAAAAGTTTCAGAACTTTTAATAAGTTATAAAAGTTACCTCAATCCATTTTAATGTATTTCGATGCCTTTTTGCTTCTCACTGCAAAGTGAGAAATGGAACTTTAAAAGGATAAATAAGGGACGGTTTGTTAAAAGCATTATGTAGAGAAATTATTGAGGACTATAAAGCTTATTTGAATTGGCCTATATGAATTATTTGAACATTTGAATAAAGAAACAAACAAATTATAGTAAGGAATTGCATCGAACCTTCCTTTTTAAATTAGAAAATATTTTTAAAAACCATCAAAAACAATACCTTTGACTTCTGCTCAACCCGGAGTCCACCAATTCACTTTTTTTAGCTGCACTATTAATCCACGATTTTTTCGGTTTCATTTCATTAATAACTGAAACTTGGAATTATTTTTAAAATGTAAAACTATCCAGATAGAAATTTAAAAGCTATTTTTATAAACAACAATTACATAAGCTATGCAGAATTAATTTGAGAGGACAGAAGAAAGCATAATTTTAAGGAGCTATAGTGAAGGTAAATTGAAACTTCTGATTAAACCGTTTAAGAGAGTCAATTCAAAAATTTTTGATCAATAAATAATTTTTTCCTTGTATAATTTCAGCCAAACGAATTTGAAAAGCAAGCATTTATGCTAATTATGATTATAAACTACATAGCAAACGAACATTTAAAAAGCGTTCTGAAGCATAAATTTTGAATAATTTCTGCATTCAAAACTTATGCTTTACACTCTCACCAGCAAGAAAAGAGGAAGATTAAAAAACGGGAAAAAGAGTTTTCGACTATTGGAAAAGAAAGTATTAGAATTGTTTTAGGATAGAATAAAAATAAATTTAAGAAAACTATAAACGAATCAATAAATAGTCAATTGATAGTCATGCGGTTTTTTTTTGAAACTTCGAGAAACGGCAATTACGCGTAGCAAAAAAGTCTGAATACTAGAATGAAAATAAAAAAATTTTTTCCTTTCAAACTTTTTTTTTGGTATGATATGCAAAATATAAGATAAAAACAATGAAGCTATCTGTAAGCACGAAAATTTTCCACTTACAAAAACTTCTTTACTTTTCAGATAAAGTTGAAAGCTCGAAAACTCAAATAGATAGATATATGTAAGGACGTACTCAGGGATTTTCGATCCCAACCTAAAAATAATTAGACTAATTTAATAATTTACTTGTGTATTAATTCACATCGTCCTTTTACCGCCTTTCCAGTTGTCAGTTATAATGCAATTTCTAACATAAATTATCAAAATGAACAACAATCAGGGAATCAGGGAAATTCGTGTTAGGAATATGGAGCAAACAACGATGATTTGAAAATATCCGGTTTGGAAAAACTAAAGTAAAAGATAAACTATAAGTGAAATAGTCCTTATCATAATAAGATGTTGTTACATGTACAATTATAAAGGTAGAAAGATGTTAAAGAGAAATCACCTGCGACGTGGACAGACTCTCTGTTACTGCTTAGTAGTGAGTTCTTTTCCTGTATATATGGCTTCTTCAATTTCTCTAAAAACAAATGAACCAAAAAGAAAAAAACTTACTAAAAAAGCATTTAAGAATGCACCAAACAAAACAAAAAAAAAAAGACCGCAAAATTTAATCTTCTACAACGGTAAAGATATCAAGGTTATCTCATAAGCTTGCCACTACTATTACTATGTTCAATTTAATAGCTATTAGTGAAAAAAATTTTGTTCCATTTCATCAGTCACTAAGCTAATTTTACATCAAAGATTTGTAATTATACAAAGGCATTTGCAGATCACTTCACCGGTGTTTAGTAATTGTTTAGTAATTGAAAGGTTTTTCAACCATAGTGAATTCAATACTAGAATTTGATTACCACGACAAATCTAACGAAGCATGTGATTTGCAAACTAAATAGTTGCGGAATTTCAACAAATGTAGATCATTAATTTCCTGATTTTCTCAAATTATTCCTTAAGATACAATATCATGCCCATTTGTTTCTTTTTCATTTAGATAAACCTAAACCTTCTGGAAATAATGAAGGGTAATTAACAATAAAGTAAAATTTACTTAGATCTATCTTTGATCTCTAAAAATGGGTTATTGATAAAATACACTACGAGAAAACAAACAGTTCCATTTTGCTGAATATAAATATCATCCAGCAGTTCCAGAAAGAAATCAGTGACGAGTTCAGGAAAAGGAAGAAGAACTTAGAGATGAAACTCACCGCAAATTGCAAAAACTTAGTTGTGAACAGCAGTAGTTTCAAAACAAAAGCGGCCTATTCCTTTCTCTACAGTGAATATTTTTATAAATAGTTCTCTTAATTCCTCTTATTTGGAACGAAAATAATGCTTCCCATACTGATTAAACGAACTGCAAAATACACTAGAATTTTCTTAATCTTCAAATTAACTCGCAGAAGTAAAAGAATATTGAGCTATATCGAGGGTTTGGAAAGAACCAAAATAATGTACAACTATCAAGAAGGAGTTAACTGAACAAGCTCAAAAAATATAGCTTATCCATAAATATCGTCCTTAACTTCCCCCTACAACAGGGTATGCACTATCCAAACAACGTAATAATTTAGATCCGAAAATGCGAACCGTTCTCATCAGAAGAGAAAGAAGCTGCTGTAGCGCAGCATGAAGGATTGAAACACCGTTGTACTGGTGAAAGGCGTCCTTGTTTCATTGGGAATATTAGGAACAATGCTATCTGTATCATTGCCAACAGCATTCCAATCGCATTCGGTGTCTACACCGAAAATAAGTATCCATTTGACGGGAAAGAGATTTTACGACTTTACTGGAACTGTTCAGACTGACCAGGAAATTCGAAATAAGTAAATTTATTAGGCTTAATAATTTCGCCCAAATTGTAAAGGAAAAAAAAACGGTATCATTTAGTTTCGCAATATTTCTTTAAATAACCTTTTTTTAGAACAACATTAATCTTATAGCATTTTTTGAATAGAGCTTTTAAACAACAGAAAACAAAAATAAAAGTGAAAACTAACAATAATGTAAACATCAGATACCAACACACCATATAAAGCCCATTGACTTGATACAAGAAGATTAGCTATACACATTGGCAATGGTAACGTCTCGCAACTGCGTTGCCGTAATACCACTTTCTAAGTGTTAGAATTTCGCCTTTAAAGATGATGAAAACTTCGTTAGAAATTTTGACTTACATTAGCATTTTAAGGAAGAAATTCAATAAAAATGAATGTAATAACTTACAAGACCAGCTAACGGTGCACCAAAGTTTAAAATGTTAAAGGTCATGCATGTAAAGCCAAGTGGATGAAAAATATCATGCCTATATATCCTGACCAAAAGAAGCATCAATGATATAAGGAATATCACGGCACAAATTTCAATCGAGATCCATAGCTGCATAATAGAAATACTTGTAAAACAACGGGAAGAAATGAATGTTACCTGACAAGATGAGAGTCAAAGATTAATTCAGATTCGTTCTTCAGATACTGAAGATTAAGTATTCAGTTCAGTATAGAATACATTAAGATTTTATTGATTTCCAAACAGTTTCAAAAGCTGGTAATTTATAGAAAGATTACCTTCTTTTTAGTCATGAAGTAGTAAAATATAAGATATAAGCCCATAAGTGTAGCGGCAAAGATATTCACTGCGATCATTGTGTAATCCGTTTTCATTAAACCATATCGCAGCCAGTATACCGCTCTGAAGTGCTATATTTGATTTTTCATAAACGAATGTTTTGAGAATTCATTAATGAGTGGGAGAAAAAAGAAACTTACCCGAGAACACCCATTAGGAACGGCACTGCACTGATATCTTTTGTATTTCGTCTTTTCCAGATATTTACACATATCGGTCTGAAATCCAGTGAAATAAATTTCTGACAATATAAAGACAGCCAGCGCGTGGCATTAATAAGGAAGAAGTTTCTGGGATATGAAACCGAAAAACAAACTCACATTCCACAGAAGAAGAGTGATACGGTAGTAATGAAGGCGCTAACAGAGAGACATTGTAACAATGTTAAATTGTGGAAGAACTCAAGAGACATTTTTTAATAACCGGGCTGCAATAAAATAGTTGCTATTAGCTATGCATCGACATTCCTCAGAAATATATGTCAACGTCGAAAAGTGGATGGTACTTTGACTAAGCAGTGCAAACTACTAACACAAATCGTGTGCATTAATAATATTAATAAATATTACTGATTAGTCATTATCAAAATCATGGTCCTAAAGATTAAGCATAAAGAAATTTGCTGAAAAAATTAAAAAGGTTTCAAATTCTATACGAAGTTTTTCAAAATGTACAGGAAATTTTTTTGAGTGAATAAATTTGAACTACGTTGGTTTTAATAATTCCTGTAAAGCTACCATTCTGTCGATAGGAAATGCTTCAGTGAATAGCATACCAAAATGATCAATTACTGAATTTATTTTGAGTTAGCTTTCTGTTTGCCCTCCTTGCATCTAAGAACAAGAAGTTCTAAGATTTTATGCATTCTGAAATTATGATCTAACAATACAAAATTTGTAATCAAGACCACTCATAATAAAAGTTGTAGCTTCTTATAAGACGATCACAGGAAAATCTATTAAAAATAGCTAGGTATGTGAAAAATTGTTTGAAATTGTTTACCATAAGTTCTTATTTTTATAACTTACCAAATTAAGCAACACTCTCATACTATCTTTGTTCTCCTACTGTTCTTTGTTCTCCTACTGTCCATAAATTTCCAAAAAAAAAAAAAAAAAGTTATTAAATATTTCAACTTTATTGCCTAATCCACTACAACCCTTATATCAAAGAAATGATAAGCAATACTTCAATTTTTTAGAAAAAGCATAAATTAAAGAAAAAATAGAATATGTTAGGGTTGACAAGAAAAAGGACTTTTATGAAGAAATAGGAAAGTCCAGTGATATGAAGTTGTCGTTATACTGTTGCGATTTTGAATATTTTGAACAGGAATGATAAGGAACAAAATACTATGTTCAATTCATTATAAATAAATCAGTTAAACTGGAACGAGCTGTCCTATGATAAGAACATTTGATCATTTTTCCATACCGAGGTCTTACTGTATTTATAAAATTAGCTCGTTCTTTGATATATGCAAAGTTGCGATAATTATTTTTTGTTATAGCCGAAGTTACTTCATGTTTCGTTTTCTTTAATTATAGTCAATTTCAGATTTTTTCAAATTTGAAGTGTGATGGCAGAAACGAGTACAACATACATTTTAAAAACTATACTATCATTATTATTTTCTAAACAACATAGCTAAAGTATCAGCAGAAATATTTAAATAACATAATGTGCTTGTAGCTTAGGCATCAATCACGACATGATTATTATAAAAAATTTAAACCAAATTTAAATTATTAGAGAATGCATATAAGTTCTTATAGTACAACATAAAACAAATCGTTCAGAATGCAATTAATAAAACCTTTTGTCACAGATCCTGCGGATGAAACGAGCTGATCTGCTTTTGAAATTTGTAGCAATCTACGTTCTAAAGAAAGGGCAAAATTGAATCATAATTTGATTGTTACACTAAGATTATTTGTACACAGTTTTACATGTATATTTCCAATAAGGTTGCAATGGATCAAATTAAAAGGAGTGGATCCGTCCACTCCGTCCACATTTTTCTTTTAATACAATTTATATTTCGAATGAGTTATCAAGGAATATTTTAATGAGCTAGTTATTCTAGTTATATTAGTTATTCTGAATTATTTTCCAACATTTTGGGTCATTCCCAGAGTAGGACCCATTAATGTTTGTTAAAGTGAAACCCTGAGAAAGATGAGGAAAAATTAACTCAATATAAAAATACAAATTTGTAAGTTGAAAAGGAAAAGGCATTTAAGCAAATAATACTAAAAACAAATAACTTCATGATTTGTAAAGTAGACATTACCTATATTAAAAAAACAAATGCTATTCTTATTCTTTCAAGGAGATCACTTGCGATTTAGGGAAAAATTTCAGAAAGAAATGTGCAGTAAAATATGCAAAATATCATGAGTCATTTATAGTAAGTTTCCACTAGCAGAGATATTGTTCTTATTGTAAATATAAATGTTTTGCATCGCTTTGAAACAGACAAGCTTTCCAATGTAAGATTAATGTTAAGTTTAACATATAGCTGTTGCTATATTAATAGCGATAATTTGCTAATTATTATGTATACGATAATGAGATGAAAATATGCATGATGTGATTAAATTACTGTTTCGTAATCTTGTATGTGTGACGATTGTAATGATATAACAGAAATACCAGTCAATTCCAAGCTAAATATACATTAAAGATATGTTTTGATCCAAATTTGTGATTTACAATTTAAAAAAAAAAAAAAAAAAAAGAACATTTGAAAAGTAAACTTCAAATAGTTGGAACAGTTAAAGGAAGAGAGAAAACTTGAATAATGGGGAATAACGTTTTCAATGAATAAAGATTTTCTGGTTTATTTTTCTGACTCAACGAGAACAACCGAAAAAAAAGGAGCAGTTGTCTGTTCTGCTATAATTAAGAAAATCAAATCTTAACTCAGCTAACTTTCCATGCCTCCACTAGCAGGATAAATTATTTTCAACAGTAATAAATTTCTATGAGAACGATTTGTCGCATAATGCTTTAAATTATTTGAAGTAACAAATAATCAACTTTATTAAATAAAATATGATTAACAACATATCAGAAATCATATTTTAATTATAAATACTAAATTAGGCATGATAAATTACGAAAAGTTATGACGTGGAATAAATAGCTAAATGAATGTATATATAAAGTGAAATCGTTTTTAGTTTAAAATAACTGATAGTTCTTAAATGCGTTATGTTGACTGGCAAAAAATGATTAAGGGAATTTTGTAAAAAAAGAAATATTGAGCTCACACAAGACAAACTAAGAAGTTATTTTTCGTCTCTTGAATGTACATCTTAAAAATACAGAAGTCACAAGGAATTCCTTGCTAGACACCAGTCTGAATCGTTTCACCCGCTCTTCCATTTCTTTTTTCTTACACAAAATTTTCCAAAAATTAGATTATTCGCAACATCCGCAATCTTAAAATTACGTTTATCGCAATTTAATGTTTGCTGCTACTTTCTGGCGATATGATGTTGCTCCATTAAGATTGTCTATTTAATTGTGCAATCTATTTAACTGTAATATTTTGAGAATATAAAATAATTTATTTTCATATAAAAGTTGGGAAATCTGGAAGGTGTAGTCTATAGGAGCACTCAATACTTTTATAAAAGCAAATACTTTGTAAAGTTATTTGCTAAAAAGTTTTACTTATTGCTTTTACAATGCATATACTGCCTTAATTCGTCTGATAAAAATTTTTCTAAAAAATTTATGTTCATGAAATTTGATGGGGACCTTTAGATTTCTATCGCTACAGCATTTCAAAAATAAAGAAAATAAGTGTAAAAGCAATAAGTTGAAGTTTTTTGATAAATAACTTTTTTCCTAAAGCCTTTACTTTTTAGAAAAAAGTTGTACTATACTGATTTGGCACCACTTTTAATTGCAACCTTCCTGAACAGCTGATTATTGCTTTTCACCAACTAACAAACTGGAAAGAAAATAATTCGTTGAACAAATAATTTGATTCTCCAAACTGCAGTTCCTTAGCCACCTGTGCAATTCAATATCTGCTTATCGCTTATACAAAAAAGGCATTTTGAATTAAAATTACATCATTCTATCAAAAATTACATCATTTTCCCTCATTATATTCTATCACCCTAAGATATACGTGTATAATGAATGCCACTTTTTTTCCCACTGAGGAGGTTTTTTGCTTCGCTTCCCAGAAAATAATCAGGAAAAAAAAACTGTTGGATGATCTTTTCTTCAGTGTACTTTCTGCTTTCTTCAACTAGAATTAATAAACAGTGAAAAACGTAACGATAAGGATTGGGTGAAATTTTATTCTAACATGAAATTTTTTTTTATATTCTTCAAGATGTAATATTTGGTTTAATTTCTGATATGGATTACATTGCCTATTTGTGGAGATTCACTGATTTTTTGTATGCAAGTCGTAGGTAATATGTTCCACAAATTTTATCTTTCCTCTTAATCCTTTTTTGAATCCTACTTAAAACTGACACAAATTTTAGAGTTTTGCATCATTCCTGAAAAAAAAAAAAAAAAACTGAAACGAAAAGTGAGGTTCAAGTTTCTTAATTATGCATCCCACTAATTATATTTATAAATCAAAATAACAGAGTGCATATAGTTCAAACTACCAATTTGTTTCAATAGAAGCTACCCATCAATTAAATAACTTTAATAACACGCATTTGTACGGGTAAATTCTTATTGCGATTGCTATCTGGCTCTTATTACAATCCACAACATTCATAGGCGATGCTCTTTTCTTCCTAAATTAATCATGATAACAACAACCTCTCATCAGTAATCTGACTGTTATTTAAAATATCTTCCATTTTAAAGTAAAAATTAGATAAGTCTACCGGATATTTTCGACACCGTTTCTCTTTCAAAGATTATGGATGGTATAAATTTTACTGCGGCTATAGAATAGATTAGAAATAAGTTTTGAAAAATGTATTCGTTCAAACTTCAGTAAATCGGTTGACGAAGGTCAGTGGTTTAATTTATCGAATTATATTGGATTGACTAATATAGTGGAAGAAGCAGAAATTTTGGAGAATTTGAAAGCCATTTCACTACTCCATCTATAAAATGTTAAATAATGAAAAAAGAGTACCGATTTCATACATATCAATTTGTTTCTCACATCTCTTCTAAAGAGATATCTTAACATTTTAAAGACTTGACTAAAATAACAAATTCAAAACTTATACAATGCAATTATAAATAGGCGTTTCTATCTAATTTCTAGCCACTTAATCAAGGAAGCTATGTCTGTTCAATCAAAGAAACATAGGATAAAAGAGTCTTTTACTCCAGCAAAGTAATAGAACTTATTGGAACTAGCAAAATCTGTAAAAAATATGTTAAAGAGAGCAATAAAAATGCAAAAGAAGTTGT